TTGTCTGGCCCAGCTGCCGATGATCGGCAAGCTGAGAATGTCGCCTCCAGTTCCTGAAGTGTAAAAGGCACATAAGATTCTTCTTTGAGAGAAGAAAAGTCTAAGGGTACTAACTCTCTGACAGACTTTGAGGAAAGAAACGAGATGCATAGATGTAGCCCCTGAGAAATACAGACCAGATGATTACCAACTTCAATGGCAACGACAAGAGGGTTTGCTATATCAACACTGACAACCCACAGAACAGGAGCCTGGTCAGGAGAGTATTTACCACTCAGTTTCTGTACTTTCTTCCAGACTACACTCAGAGGAAGCAGAGGTGATGGTGGAAACAATCTTGCCAGCTAGTGCGTTTAGCATCACGGATGACACAGCGAGCAGACTGCATACTTCTGCTTAAAATAAAAAAAGTCTCTCAGTGGTTCTGTTGTACCGGTACATGCCCCATACAGCGCATTTCAAACGTACTGCACGAGCACAAGCAGGAGACCACCATGACACACACTTCTGAGAATGCCTGCCCGAGGTTTGGGGTATAGAATGAGAAGCTGCGGTTAAAACTGTGGACGAGAAGAGGTGTAAAAGCTCGTCAATGGAGGACGAAGAAGGAACCCCACTAAAAGCAGTTAGTTGCGAGTAAACGTCCCAGTTTGCTTGATCAAATTGCCAGTGTGGGCTACGAAGAGGTGGTGAATATGAAGGAGAAGTAAGAATGATTGGAAAATGATCGCTGTCATGTAAATCCGGGAGAACAGACAAGAGAACAGAACAGAGTATGAGGATCAAAATGGGTGGGAGTACCTGTATTTAAAACATGGAGGTGGTGAGAAGTGAAAAAAGCCTCTAACTGAATGCCACGGGAATCATAGTGAGACCCCCCAGAGGAAATGTTGAGCATTAAAATCGCCTAGTAACATAAGTGGTGGCGGTAAGGACGAGACAAGAAAGGCAACATCCGGGATAGATAATGCCTGAGAAGGAGAGTGATACAAAGAACAGATTGTATACCACTTACACAAGTGGATACAGGCTGCACTGTAATGCAGTGAAATACGAACAAATAGCTGATGGTAGGGGATATGAGTGCATAGGACACTTTAAAAGTCCCATCCGAAAAAGGATCCAAAGAATACAATAAATTATAGCCTGAGATGGGATAGATAACCGCAGAGTGTAATTTTGGTTCTTGTAAGCAAACACCAACAGGGAAAACCGGGAAAGCAACATCTAAAGCTCACCCTGATTACTCCTGAGGCTGCATATATTCCACTGTAAATAGGCCATGATTGATAATGATAAAGATACCAGAAATCCGCAGGTATGAGTACCTACGGACTAGAGGGGTTTGAAAAGTCCCCATGTTGTGGCGCGGTAAACGTTCAAGTAGCGAAGGAACGGAGCATTGTGAAGAAAGGAGTTGCATAGATGGAGGAGAGAAAAGAGAAGGAACAAGGGACGGATCAGTGTCCATTGATGGTTTAGTCTCTGCAATATATTCTGGGATAGCTTCAAGTGTTTTGAAATTCAAAGACGTTGTATGGGAGACAATACTGGAGATGGAAGGAGGAGGGTGAGTAAAGATTGGGACAGTAATGGACTGTACCAAAGTATGGGGGGACGAAAGGGTGGAGGGAACTGGAGAAGTGTGGGAGGGGACAGAAGAGGCAGAAACCTCGGAGGTGACAGAAGAAGAAATTTGGGAGGGGACAGGGGAGGAAGGCACAGTACTGAGGAGGGTGAACCTCCACACTTGTAACAGAGCCAGTGAGAGGGAAAGAACCGGGTACAGATACTGGAAAGGAGGGGTTAAACGAGATTTGAGCAATGGGGATTTTTTGGACATTTGAGAAGTAGAGGGGCGATTGGGAGGAGGTGTCGTATGAGGTTTTGTCAATACTGGGGCTTGTGAAGAAGAACACGAAGATGTGAGAGCAGACAGAGGTGTTGAAGTAGGGACTCCTGAGCCCAGGACAGCAAAAGAATTAGAAACAGGAGTGACTATGGGAGGGGTAACCACAAAGGAGGCTGCAGAAGATGGAACCGTAGAAGTGGGGGGACGTTTAGAAACACGAGAATAAGAAATATAGTGTAGTCTCCCTTGGAGGTGTAGATGAGAAATTACCATAGCATAAGGGAGACCTTCTGCCTCTGAGGCAACGAATTTCCCACTCATTTAAGTAGACCTGGCAATGGTGAGAGTAAGAAGGGTGAGCCTCATGGCAATTAAGGCAAGAGGGAGGTCGGCTACAAGACGTATTAGAATGGTCATCGGCACCACAGACTGGGCATTCGGCTATAGATCTGCAATATTTCGCTGGGTGACCAAATTGGCAGCAATTTCTCAACTGTTGCGGAGTAGGGATCACTTTTTATACTTGCAACCGATGTCCTGCTACATAAACAGAGGATAAGAGTCCACAGCTGTCGAAAGTTAATTGAGCCACATTGCAAGGGTATCGTCTCTGCCCGCGGGCAGGAAGGACATAAGTATCTACCTTGAGGATTGGGAGATTTTGGAGTTCCAGCTGTTCGAGAATGTCATTGCTACATGTCTGGAAATTCTGTTGGACTATGGTATGGGGCAGAATGACAGTACCACTACAAGAATTGAAGGAATGATGTTTTTCAGTAGTGACAGGAATAGTATCGATATGTGAAAGAAGAGGAAGCTCATGAGCTTGGGTAGCATTCTGGACAGTGATGATGCACGTACTGCTCTTGAGAGCATGAAAGGAAATATCTCTACCAACATGGCATAGGAGCACCTTACAAATACTATGGTTGGAAAGATAGGCAATAGAAGAAGTCGGTCATAAAGAATTTAGTCCATTGTACGGTCCGAAACCGAGAGTGGAAAGGGAGTGCATGATGTGTCCGTCTTTTCTGAGTAGAATGGGAAGGTGGCGAAGCCTCATCATCAGGTAATTGTATTTGGCATTTAGAAGTGGGACCAGAGTTGGTCCGATGTGGGATGGGCTGGCGATTCGAGAATTGCCGTACAGTAGAGGGAGAGGCCGGAAGCATAGTCAAAGGAGGGCGGAGGTCAGACAAATTGAAGGAGTCAGTCTAGACCACGGTATCTGAAGTGGGTAATGAAACAGCACCAGTAAGAGGTACAGGGGCATCAGGAGTGTCCAAAGAGTGGTCATAAAATGAGGCAGGGTCAGAACGGGATGTGGTACCAGTAAGAGGCCCAGGGGTAGCAGGTTCATGGACTAGGGTTTCCATGGTTAGGTTACTTCTTTCTTTTTGTTTTTAAGAAAAAAAGAAAGAAAAAAATTAAAAAAAAGAATAAAATATGGGAGGAACAGGGAGGAATAGTTCCTAGGAGGAATGAAAGGGCCGGAAATCGCCCTCCACGCCCAGGAGGACCTCAACACTGCAAGTAGTTCAGATGTGGCATGGAATCCATGCCATACCCTACCCTTCATGCCAGTAAACCAGTAATCCAGAATAGCAACCACACATCTGCCGAGCTACCTCGGTGGACAAAAGAGAGGGTGGCCGGATATCCACCACAAAGCATACCTCCTTTGGTCACCACCCACGGAATCTGAAAGGCAGCCTCCAGAGATACACCCATCGCCTGAAAGACACCCAAAGCCCCCCCCCGGGAGACCAGAGAGGGAACGGGACATCCCCTGGCGATCCAGATTCCACGGTAAACTACACCACCGCCAAGAACCTCAACGGAATGGGATGGACCCTGGCACCCTTCCCCCTACCTAGGAACCAGTAGGCCTGTGGGAAGAATCCCAAAGGCCAAAAAGAGGAAGGGAATAAGGGAGGGATGGGGGGAGGAGGAGGAGGAAAGGAAAAAGGAAGGATGGGGAGGATGGGATAGAGAAGGGGGGATTGGGGGTAATTAGGTTTGGTCTGAGGAAGGAGACCAACAGGTATAATTTCTCAGACCAGAGCCTCTTCACCACACCAAGGAGCTCCCCTCGAAGAGGTTCAACTCAAGAGAAACGAGAAACCAGAAACAATAAGCCACAGCGATCAGATGCCTGCACAGGAATTGGAGATCAAGGGCGCTTCAGGAGGTCTTGATCTTCATGCCACAGGTACCGCAAGGCCTAAGAGAAGATTTTCTAAGAAACAGCTTGCACACTTGGATGAATCGGCTGTGATCGACATATTTGAGGAGAAAAAAAAAAAACTGCCAACAAAGAGAGCAAATGTGCTGGCCACAACGTCTCTCCTAGTGACTGCGGCCAAACTGGAGCAAGCGGCGTAGTGATGCTGCAGCAGTGACAGCCTTGAGCAAGTCTAGAGGACGACTGCTGTCCCCTGGTCCACAGGCAATTGGGCAAGCAGCAGCAGCTGCTGCCCAGCCAGACACAGCTGCTGTTATGGAGAATGAAGCAGTTATAGTATATGATGAGACAACAGAACTCTAGAACAGTTATCTATCTCTTGTGTAAGTGGAAGGAGGCTTCACTTAAGATATTTCTTAACCAAATCATATATCCTATGCCATTAGTTGGTGGTCCCCCTATATATATAATATATATATATATATATATATAAATATATATAATATATATATATATAATATATATATATATATTATATATATATAATGTCGTGCCGAATATGTAAAACTTGCGATCTTGGCTTAAATAGCAACGCTCATCTTGCCAAATAGGACAAGCGAAAATTTATGTATACAATAATTTCGCCAAAATCATTCAGAACCTAACGAAAAAAATATATTTCGTTCTGTTTGTTTGGTATTAAATTATTGTAAACGTATATAAAATATATCTAGTTGGATTAGGCTAAAATAAATTACGCTTGTTATAATAAGGTTAGGTAAGTTTTGTAAGATTCTTTTGTTGCAAAATTATAAATTTTTACATCAACATTAATGAAAAAAATATAGCTTTAAACACATAAGAGTTTTTTTTTTATAAAAAAAGAACTATTTTAAATAAGTTCTTGCAAAGTGACCAGTTTGTGTTTGTATATATATATATATATATATATATATATATATATATATATATATATATATATATATATATATATATATATATATATATATATATATTGTTCACACTTTCAGTGCATGTCTGAAAAAAGAAGTAATTTTGACTCGGTTTATTCACTTCTGACGGTGCTGTTATGATCTGGGTTGAGTATTCATTACTGACAGTACATCATCTGAGGTGTGCTGAGTATTTGCAAACTTCAGAGCCGTCTACTTGTAGCAAATAAATATACAGAGCGATATTTTTTACACTATATATTGAGGAAACTTAAGCCTATTTTTTTGAAGCCTTTACTTTACGCATTTGACGAATATACATCTTACCAAACATTGTGGAACAGTGTTACATAACGGAATGGAGAGCGACACACCTCGATACCTGGAGGATAGACTCTGTGGTTGTGTACCATAGGATAAGTTTGTGTTAAACATAAGCAACCAACAAAGTGTGGAGTGGTTGCAATTTTGCATGTTTACGTTTCAGGCATGTCGCTCATGTCCAGGTTGGGATCGGGCGCAGGGAAAAGGGATAAATTGAAGTGGTTTAGGTGAAGGGACGAAGGTGAAGGGCTTAGGTGAAGCGATTAAGTGAGGGGGGTTAAATTAAGGAGTGGTTTAAAGTGAGGGGTGTTAAGGTGAAGACTGAGGGAGTTAGGGTAAAGGGGTTATGGGGTGGGCTCGCAGGTGTAGACAGTGCGGTAGAACTTTTGCGTGACTGTCTGGTACACCTGTCTGACGGAAGTGCAGCTCTTCCAGCCCCAGGCTCCACAGTGTGTCTGCACTCGTTGTGGCACCACCTTCTTGTAGCTCCTGGTGTAGGCCACCTGTTTGGGCACGTATTTGCACTTCCTGGAGGAAAACCACAAGCGATTACTTATTTTATCTATTTGCATGAAGTACTGGACCCATGTGCTTCATTCACCACGACAAAGAATACAACGTAACCAGACAAACAGTAATTTAATGATATTTTAAGCAGAGAAGACCCTGTAGACGTTTCAACCAACGTGAGTGAAGAAGTACGTAGAAAAAAAACCCAAGGTGGGTGATAGAAGTTCTTGATAAATTCCCACTGTGTGCGATAAAGGCACTTGATAAACTTTCACAGTGGATGACGGAGGAATTTGGTTATACGAGCACTTGGTAAACTCCCACAGTAAGTAATATAGGTATTTTATAAACTCCCACAGTGGGTTATACACGTACACTATCACCCACTGTGAGGTGATAAAGGCGCTTCACAACCTCTGTGGGGTGATAAAGGCGCTTCACAACCTCCATCTGTGAGTGATAAAAGTATTTAAAGTAGCTCCATTTTGGGTGAAACTTTGTAAAATAAAGGTCTCCTATGCCCACTGCCTACAGTGCCTTTTAAGCATTAACTTATGAACCTACTTGTTATGGCAAGGATATATCTAGAGAAAAAGTGGAGAGGTTGTCTTTCAAAGGATAACTAGTAATGGATTAATTGTATTTATAGAAGATCAGGTATTAAATGACTGAGTTAGTTTCTTTCAATGGGTCACCCTGCCTTGATGGAAAACGGCCGAGGTGTAAAAAGAAAATATATGAGGAGAGTAAAGCCAGTGGTTTGGCTTCTACAGGAAGTGGTTTCTCGATGTATCTGTAAGAGAAAGTGTTAATCTTTGGCATCAGTTATTATGAAACACAACATATGGTTAAATGCATCAATCTAGTAGGCGGGAGAGGACGCTAGTGATTAGATCAACTGTTCTTAAAAGACACGTGTGAGAATGTACCAGCTGTTGTGTGAAGACAAGAATTAGTATCTACCAGATATTGTGGGGAAAAAAATGCGTAGTAGGAGCCTCCAGCTATTGTGATAAGTCGTGCATTAGAATCTACCGGCTACCAGAATCTACCCGAGATGACGATTATACTCTCCAATCAGCTGCCGCAAGTCAGGTGCAGGAAACCACGAGTATTTGTGGGATATCAAGTAATAACGCAGAGGAATTAATATTAGAATTAATATTAGAATTAATATGCAGAGTAAAAGAACATGACAAGCTAATAAGCCTACAGGAAGATAAACCGACATTACGAGAGGTGCTTGACCCGTGTGTCTAGATAAGTGAATGGAGTGCAACTACCTTGGATCAATACTCACCGTCTCCCATTCACCAGGCATTGTAAAGTGTGTGTTATATATATATATATATATATATAATATATATATATATATATATATATTATAATATATATATATTTTATATATATATATATATATTATATATATATTATATAAAATATATATAATAATATATATATATAAATGAAATAAATGTAACTACGGAACAAGTGACTTTAAAGCGAAGGATAATACTGCAACTAGCGAGACTTAAACCCGTGACTGCCTTGGTGGTGTTTATTAGTCACATTAATAAAATACTGCGGTTTACCTTTTGTTACACTTTTTTTGGCCCAAGATAATATTTTCACTTATGTTGCAAATTTAGGTTAAGAACATAATTGTCGCCGTGTAGATTCTCGACAGGATATTGGGTCTCTTACAGTAAAAAAAAAGCTACGAGTTATTGTTATAAAGTAAGTCAACAATATACTGTATTTCTATAACGCGGCAGAACCTTGAAATTCCCCTCAAACACCACTCCCTCCACATCGACACATCCCCTACACAGTAATGTCTAAACCAAATCCCTCTACTCCACCACCTCCCATCCTACACCACCTCTCCCACACTACCCCGTTTACCCATAGTATCCGGTTCCACCCTCAGCCACAGTCTTTCCATCTCCCACCAACCACAACCCACTGCTTCATGCAACCCCCAACCACACCAACTACTGCACACAGCGCCTCACCCTCTACCACTCCAGCACAGCTCTTCCATCACCAATACTGCCGCACCGTTCCTCCCACACTGCCCATTCTAATGTTCGTCAACCCTGCACATTGTTTATTCTACATCATCCAGCTCACTCCAACCCTTTCACACTGTCTTTTCTATACTGCCTCTTCCACAGAGAACTTCCTACACTGCCCCTCCCATTTCACACTTCCCACACCCCTTCTACGCTGTCCCTCCTACACCGATCTTCCAAACTACCATTCCATACCGCAACTTCCACACCGCTCCTGCCTCTCATCGCCCCTGTCATGCCCCACCCTCTCACTCACCGCCCATTCCACCCGATGGCCATCTTCCTAGTAAACTAGTGTTAGTACCTACCTGTTGGTACACCAGAGGCCGGAGAAACCCTCAGGGCAAGTGCACACTCCAGGGCTGGTACAAGTTCCCCCATTACTGCACGGAGGGTCACACACGGGCGTGGTGCAGGAGGGACCGGAGTAACCACGTCCACACCGGCACCTTTCCACGCCCACACACGTACCTCCCACGCCACACCCGCGAGAGCATAGAACTGTAAGAATAAATTTGGGAAATATTAATAACCTTCAGTTTCTTAACCGTTTTGTCCTAAATTTCGAGAAAAATATCATTTGTAAAATAAATGATTCAAAATGTCTCTTACCTAAAGTAGCGGTAAACTTTGACGACTTTTACCCTACTTAAGGTTCAATTTTGTTCCCCAGAAATGAAGAGAAATTCGACAAAAAAACTGTCAAACATTAACAATGTGCATCACACAGTTCATGGTTATAGTACTTAATGGCAAGTATCGTAGTGCCGGAAACTAACAAGTCGGTTTTTTTTTCCACTGACAAGTAATGTATATCCAATATGACTAAAACGACATGTAATTGAACCGGGGGTTCTTTGCAAAATGACCGCCTGGAGGTTTTGGATTCACCTTCCCCTGGTTAATCCCACGCTTCTATGTATATTCCAACAATGTAAAGACATGTAAAAGCAGAGAATTGCTTAGTACAAAATGTTTACGATTCACGCATACAGAATTAGATCTGGGGACAAGGGAGGAAAGAAAATCAATATGTTTGGATGTTTTCGCATACAGAATGGATGTAAAAAATAAATCTATATGATGGTGGGCCCCAAGACACCATTTACCTAGGTGTCAAGATCATGTTTACTCGAGATCTCAAAGTAACAGCACGTAGCTAATTACGTCTGGACAGGAATTAAAAGTCTACTAAACGTTAATAAAAAATACCAGGAATAGCACGTAGCTAATTACGTCTGGACAGGAATTAAAAGTCTACTAAACGTTAATATAAAAATACCAGGAATAGCACGTAGCTAATTACGTCTGGACAGGAATTAAAAGCCTACTAAACGTTACTAAAAAATACCAGGAATGGCTCTAAAGACAATATGCCATTAAGCCATTTACTGGGAAAACTTCGCTCAGGGCAGTGGTGGTTGCAGGTATTACCCAGGGAGGGCGGATAATGGTTTGCCTTTTCCAAATGAATGGGCAATAGTCTGCCATTAACGCGAGTTTATGTTTGTGCCTTTTAAAATTCTCGAAATATTAAATTTTATGGTAATAATAATAGTTTAAGGAATAACACAATCAATGTAAGTCAAAAGAGTTTCATAATCATATGATAAATAGGTATATCTCTATTGTTTTGATATCAATGTTGCTAAAATAATCTGTGTCGTAATAGATCAAGTGTCCACTATGAGGGAAATTAAAAGCCATTATCTTCAGAAAACGACAAGCAGCAAGAGTTCAGAGATGGTAAATCATGTCTCGCATACTTGCTAGTCCCATAACAAAGTAACAGGAAAATGAGAGATTATAGAACAGTACATAAGAGAGAGAGAGAGAGAGAGAGAGAGAGAGAGAGAGAGAGAGAGAGAGAGAGAGAGAGAGAGAGAACTACCTAGCGTAGGGCTGCAAGAAAAGTCAGGTTTACCAGGAATAGCCCTACATTCGATGGGGGAGAAGAAAAAATGAGAAAGTTTGACAAGTGAGGAACTAGTACAAGACCTGATAATATTTTTAACTCATTTAAATTAACTGCCAGAGGAGATTCAATTTTGTGTATCATTATTTGCCGATGAAGCACAGCTAATAAGAATAAATATAGAAAACGGACGATTTAAACAAACCACAAGATTGGCCAAACAGTGAAAACTCGAAATCAACCCAGATAAGTGCTATGTTATGCAGAATGGGGAGGGAGAGAGAAGACTAGAGACAGAAAACAGCTTGATAAGTATAAAACCATAAGGGAAAGATCCTGGAGTATAAACATCAAACGGCATATAAACATATAACGGCATATAAACATATAAACGGCATATAAAATACTGAGAGGGATCGACAAGGTGGATAGAGACAGGATGTTCCAGAGATGAGAAGATAGACGACTGATGAATCACAGGAATGTTAGGATGTATTTCTTCAGAGTTTTCAGTAAGTAGAACAGTCTGGGAAGTGACGTTGTAGAGGCAGGATCCATATATAGCTTTAAGAACAGGTATAATAAAGTTCGTGAAGCAGGAAGTGTGACCCAGTAGCGGCCAGTGAAGAGGCGGGGCCAGGAGCTGTGACTCAACCCCTGCAACCACATCTAGGCGAGTACAACTAGGCGAGTACAACTAGGCGAGTACAACTAGGCGAGTACACACAAAAAAAACAGTATGCCTTAAAGTGGCACATCAGGTGGATGAACTAGTGAAGCGTCCAGAGGTGTTCCGCCACCTCTCCAAGGATTGTCATAATTGAAGCTCTGACTAAATCTGTAATCCTATGATATTCGTAATCGGATTGTCTGATCTGAGATTAATCCAGAGAGAGAGAGAGAGGAAGGAGAGAGAGAGAGAGAGAGAGAGAGAGAGAGAGAGAGACGGGCATAACGAAACACAAGAGAAAATGAAAACACCAGGACAAGACTCCACGTCATGGAAACAGTAACTATCCTTCGAAGTTTATATCTTGATAGTAGAAAACTCTTATAAAGTGACGCAGGCTCCCATGTCTATCAAATTTACAAATGCATCGTGCTAATATGTCAGTAAGAAGGCATAACAGATAAAATATCATTCCCAACAGATTAAAACTTATAATGAATCCAGTTCACAACCTGGACCAAAAAATAAAAAAATGCGCATTTTCCCACGCAAGTCACGTCTTGATCGAGTCACTATAGATAAAATAGGATAAAATCTGAATCTAAGAACTTGTCAACATCTCAGGATTTGAAGACAACTTAAATCACAATATGGTTTTTCCTAGCTGAAGACTTCACTTGAAATCGAGTAACTTCAACAAAAATAGTGCGAGTGACGGTACGAATATCAAGGAGGACACAGGAACAACTATATGTACTTCGGTCGCTGCGCGATCCAAGAAAGTTACAGTATCCCATAACCAGTTTCCTGTGCCTCAGTGATTACGACAGGAATAATACAGAATGCGGCATAGGTTGATAATGCCGCATTCTGTATTATTCCTGTCAACATGTGGAAACGGATATACAAATTTATTTAATAAAATAACTTATTCGACCCAAATATAATTGAAACCTTCCAAAAAGATCAAAATCCTAAAATACACAAACTCATTAAACTTGAAGCCGCTCAGAAGTTTCTTTATAAAGGTATTAAGAATGGAAGGGCCGAAGCTAATCAGACGCGACATTCAAACTATCGCATGAAAAGCACTATTTCAATTGTTTCAATTTCTTCCCCCCATCCCCCCCCCCCAAAAAAAAAAAAAATTGGGACCTATAAATGCCAAAATCAATCCAAACTTTTTTCTATGACTGACCAGCTTTTAAAAAAACAATTAAGATCATTTTATGAATGCTTTGCGTTCATAAATTTTTAACGGAGGTTGGGGAGTCTGGGTAAATTACACAGAGATAAAAATGAAAATCTCGTGTGTAATGAAGGTTCAATAAACATATAAACAAAATCGCTCAAAACATTATTATTTAATAAACGAAGTAAATTATGAAAATTTTATTTTTTCAAACAAATAATTTTTAGTCTAGTGGGCAATTTCGATGTACAAAAATTTGTTTTTGGGTAATGACCCCAAAATTTTTCCTATTTCTGGGCCTCTAGAAGGTATACAGATGTTATAGGCTAATAAAAACACTGTTGATTTATCCTAAGATAACATTTGCAATCAGACACTGGAACATTCAAATTCAATCCAAGTTCCTTGGATCAAGAGCCCCTTACCAGCATCAAGGCAAATAATGTGATAATGTAGAATAATATATACCATTTTTGTGTTCTAGAGTGAAAATTTATTTTTTTGAGAGAGACTGCAAGAGTCTCCCGCTGCCTCACTTCTTACATTAATTTAAGTTCATGAATTTCAAGTGTTTTATATCCGAGATAATCTTTGTGACAAATGGGAATAAGATTGCAAGTAAAGTTATTTTCTGTGGCTTGCAGACACCACCTTTAAGACTAAATATCAGTGTTGGCTTGTTTCATTTACCATCTTTCAAAATAAAAAAAATTAATATCTATTTGAGAATGATATTTTCACTTAAATCTAGCGCTGTTAAATAAGGTTAACTGTGGACGATCTTTAGCTCTTACTAGACTCAAACTTTATACAGGAGTTTGAGAAAATAACGTGATCACATGCTGAATGAACTGCCCAACTGTCGAATGACTGAGTAATCAATTCAAATTGCGTTAAAGATCCCTTCTTGTGCTATCTTCCAAGACGATAATGCACCAATTCACACCGGTAGATTCAAAATTGGCATGAGGATCATGAAAGTGAAGTCAAACACTTGGACTGGCTCCCACAATCGCCAGATTTAAATATTATGGAGCATCTGTGGGGTCAATTAGAACAATAAGTCAGGAATGAGTTTCCTCCACCGTCGTCTTTGAAAGAGTTTGAACAGCTTTTGCGAGAAGATTACTTAAAAATTCTCCTGGATAATGTTCAAATGCTATATAAACAAATTCTTCGACTAACTGGTGCTGTTTTTAGCTGCAAATTGAGGACCAACTCCATACTGAAAATAAAAAGTGTAAAACGAGGTATTCATAATTGGTCCAACCTCTTTATGCACCAGAAAATTGCTAAAAGTACTTTAATAAATTAAATATAATATATACATTATATATATATATATATATATATATATATATATATATATATATATATATATATATATATATATATATATATATATATATAGTTTAATTGTGCAAGATTAACCAGAAGACTGCCTATCATCTAAATATATAAATTAACACTTTTTGTATAGTTTATTAAGTCCGCCCCCCAGTGTCTTATCTTAGTGTTACAAGGCTAGTCTAGTTTCAGGAAATGTTCTTCTCTAAGTACTACTGGATGGTCCTGTTGAAAACTTGCTTTTTGGGCCATTATGGACGTGGGGTGTTGGGGCTGCGATATCACGGTATACTGTGTGTACGTAGGGAAATTCACGGTCATAGTCCTACCTGTCTATAAGACAGTAGGTAAGAGGCGATAAGTACCTGCCACTTGCA